CAGAAGGCCAACTTTAAATCTAGCTCTGAGGCTGAAGTAACAATGTCTTGTGTTGTCTGGGGCGTGGTGTCTGCAACTGCCAGTGAACCCTGAAGAAGCTAAGTTACTTTAGAGCCACAACAGATAAATACTATGAAGTAATCTAACAGTCTGACCAGAAGCACAAGAATTAGTGTTGGATATTGCTTGTGAAGTTCAGTTTGTGTCATCGATCAGATCCTTGACTCTCTTCTTCATCAACAAGAAAAATGGCAGATTTCCGGGTTTTTTCCTTGCAGTTTCTTACATTGTACCTTTGTTTGGCTAAAAATGAAATATATACACAAAATTTAATCCATTTTCCTTCTATAGCTGTTTGTTAAGCTGCCCTTAAAACATAACATGTTCATAATTGCTGTGGGCCTTATTTTCCTGTTCTTGCCACAGGCATTGAATGGAAATGCTTTTTCTTTCTGTATAACTTAATAACTTTAAACAAAAGATCAGCATGGTGACTGTTCTCTTCTTCTTCCATCTGGGTTTGCCTAAGATTTATTTCACCCGTACATTTGTGCTTAAGAAGGTGATTTATTCCTGACAAACAGGTTACTATGTTAGTAAAATCCCAATTGGTAGGAAATAATAATGTGTTGGGATTTCCCTAAGCAGCTCACAGTGCAGAACTTTCTAGAAATTTACCAGGCACTCCCTTTAGGCACTCCTTAGTGAAGAATTCTGGCATATACATGGTAGGGGTTAGCATTAGCACCTCAGTGCCATGGTTTGAGGTAGCACTGCACCTTCAGTTGAGAGGCATCAAGTTCACTGTCATCTTCTTTTGTTTTTGATATTATTTCTGCATCAGCACAGACTGTGAGCTCCACTTTAGTTCCTTTTAGTTCCATGGGGAAGCAGCTTCCACACTGCGATGAAGCATTTAAATACCTTCTGAGCCCACTTCTGGGTTGCGCCACCACCATGGCACCAGTCAGCTCAGAAGGCATTTAAATGCCTCCTGAGCTTACTTCCAGATCGCAACAACACTAAAGTGCTGTGCCAGTCAGGAGACATTTAAATACCCAGAGTATATAATGCAGGAATTAGATGGGGATGGGAAGTGAGCTCACTCACAGTGCACCGTAGCGGCAGCACAGCTTGAAAGGGTTTCCTGGGTGCCAGCATGTGTGCCGCACAGACCACCCCAACAGACCAAATAAAAAAATTGTAGTCCGTGGGCAGTCAATCAAAACTACAAATGCTCAGTCTGGGCAAACTGTGGACAGGTCTGTGCTCATCCCTTCTTTGGAGGGTGGACTCTATTGCATGTACCCCACTGAGGTCTATGTCCTCCCCAGGCTCTACCCCCAAATTTCCAAGCGTACCCCAAGCTGGAGCTGGCAACCTTACTTCCCCATTCCCCGCCAGCAGCCAGGGGGGACCTGACAACCCTAGATGTACTGTTAGTATTGGATGTTTTCTTCTTTAGATTGTAACTGGCTATTTTTATCTTAGGCATCATTGGAAATTTCCATCGAAAGAGCAGCTTAGAAATACTATAATTAGGGGTGTGCAAAAAAACCCAACCCAGTATTTTTTTGAGTTCAGGTATATTGAAGCTGAAAATTTCTGTATTTCCTGATAATCCCAAATCCCAACACCAGTATGGTATTCAGATTTGGTAAATATTTGGGATCACCAAATTCTTTTGGCTCCGTTATACCCTATGGAGACCATTATAATGGAGAATCGATCTGGGGGTATCTGGGGCTCTGTGGGAGCTGTTTTTGTTTTTTGAGACAGAGGAACCACATTTGCAGCATAGCTGCTGGTGCCTCTCCTCAAAAAACCTCCGAAGTTTCAAAAAGATTGGACCAGGAGGTCCAATTCTATGGGCACCAGAAGAAGGTGCCCCCATCCTCCATTGTTTTCAGTGGAGAGGGAAAGGCATTTAAAGGGCTCACAGTCCCTTTAAATGCCTTCTCCAAGCTGCAACTTCACCCAGAAGATGTTTAAAACACCCTTTAATGCCAGTTATCTGGTGGTCCCAAAAAATCAGCCATATCTGATAGCCGGATAAATACCCCAACTGATATCCAGCTGAAAAAATACCCAAAAAATACCAGTAAGGTATTTTGGGGGTATTTTTTGGCTCAGTTTCTACCAAGAGTACACCCCTAACTATAACTAAGCTAATTACATTAGAATTAAATTAAATCAAGCCACTGATTAATGCTGGCCAGCCGGGCCATTTCCATGCCATCTGCTGTGCTCACTGAGGCTGTGGGCTTCTAGGCAAATGACAGCCAGACTCCCAGAACCTCTAGGCATAAGATGACTATGTTTGATTCAAATGCTGTGAGTGTGCTTTCAGTGAATGTGGTTGAAATTGTTCTGATTCAATTTGTATTTGTCTTGTTTGAAGAGTAAATTGGAACTGCAAAATTTTAGTTTTGTTGTTATTAAGTGTTCCAAACTAAGAAGAAGAAGAAGAGATTGGATTTATACACCACCCTTCACTACCCAAAGGTGTCTCAGAGCGGCTTACAAACTCCTTTCCCTTCCCCTCCCCACAACAGACACCCTGTGAGGTAGGTGGGGCTGAGAGAGCTCTGACAGAAACTGCTCTTTTTCATGCACAGTTCTTATCAGAACTATGGCTTGCCCAAGGTCATCCAAGCAGGTGCAAGTGGAGGAGTGGGGAATCAAACCCGATTCTCCCAGATTAGAGTCCGCGCACTTAACCATTACACCGTAGGCTCTCCTATGCTGATAATTATTTTTTCCTAATTTATTACAAATTATTAGCATCTGAATTTGTTGGAGAGTTTATATGGTATTGTAACAGCCCTATGGGGCTTGGTTTTCTGTGATTCAATTTATTGTTTTTAATTATGCAAGATGTGTTTTTATTTTTAGTCTGCCTGGTTAGTATTAATGATGGTAAAATTAAGTTACTCTCAACTGTTCGCCTGACCCATGCCCGTCGTGGCTAATTAAAGCCAGTCGCAATGGGGTACGAGGTGCCCTAAGGGAAACTGTCAACAAGTCCCTCTCTGAGGGGCTGTTCTTGAGGGCACTCAAGGAGGCAGTGGTATGCCCTCTCTTTAAAAAACCATCCTTGGACCCAGCCGAATTGGCTAACTACCGTCCGGTTTCCAGTTTGCCCTATTTGGGCAAACTAATTGAGAGAGTGGTGGCAATTCAGCTGTAGAGTTTCTTGGATGACACTTCCGCATTAGACCCCTTCCAGTCCACCTTCCGACCAGGCCATGGGACGGAGACGGTACTGGTTGCCCTCACAGACGACCTTCGGAGGCATCTGGATTGGGGCGGTTCGGCAGTGTTGTTGTTGTTGGACCTGTCGGCAGCATTCGACACAGTCAGCTACCAACTACTGACCCACTGCCTCGCCGACACCGGGATTCAGGGGTCTGCCTTATAGTGGCTCTCCTCATTTCTTCAGGGTCGGGGACAAAGGGTGGCCATTGGGGAACAGCTGTCCCGAAGGCACCCGCTAGTTTGTGGAGTGACTCAGGGAGTGGTGCTTTCCCCAATGTTGTTTAACATCTACATGCGACCCCTTGCCCAGATTGCCCAGAGGCATGGGCTGGGTTGTCATCAATATGCGGGTGTCACCAGCTCTATCTGATGTTGGGCAGCCGGTCCAATTCTAGCCCAGAAGATTTGGACGTGGCGTTGAAAGCTGTGTCTGGTTGGCTTAGACTGATTCGATTGAAATTGAATCTGACGGAGACAGAGGTTCTGTACCTGAGTCGGAGCGGCCCGGGGGTAGGGATCCCACTCCCGACCTTCGATGGGGCACCTCTGGTGCCAGCATTAGAGGTTAGGGGCTTGGGAGTGCTCCTAGATGCCTCCTTAACAATGGAGGCCCAGGTAGCAGCCACTGTGAAGTCAGCCTTTTACCATCTTCGGTTGATTAAGCAGTTGGTTCCCTTCCTCGAATGCAATGACCTGGCGCCAGTGATATACGCAACGGTCTCCTCGAGACTGGATTACTGTAATGCTCTCTACATCGGGCTGCCCTTGCCCCAAATCCAGAAGCTGCAGTTAGTGCAGAATGCAGCGGCCAGGCTGTTGTTGGGCCTCCCTATGCGGAAGCACTTCTAGCCTGCGCTAAAAGCACTGAACTGGCTGCCTATAGCATACCGAATTCAGTTCAAGGTGCTGGTTCTTACCTTTAAAGCCCTATATGGTCAGGGGCCTACATACCTAAGGGATCAGCTTTTCCCACATGTTCCCCAGAGAGCACTACGATCAGGGTCCCAAAACCGTTTGGCCCTTCCAGATCCCAAGGAAACCAGGCTGGCTGTCACAAGGGCCGGGGCTTTCTCTGTGGCGGCTCCATACTGGTGGAATGATCTCCTGGAGGACATCAGAGCCCTGTGGGACCTTCTATAGTTCTTCAGGGCCTGCAAGACGGAGCTCTTCCCCCCGGCTTTCGATTAGGGAGCCACACCACCTAGAGCGAAGCCCTGGCCCCAACACCACCATCAACAGTAACATCAAACTATCAACAGCCTGACGCGACCCAGACCAGCTGTCGGCATATTATGATTGCTGCAAACGTCGGCCATTGTTATGGTAGTTGCACTAGCACTTTATAATTTATTACATTGGGATTGTATTGTAATTTTATCAAGCTTCTTGTTTTAATGTTTTTATATAGTTTGTAAGCCACCCTAAGACTGCTTTGCAGGGAGGGTGGGGTATAAGTCAAATAAATAAATACATAAATAAATAAATTAATTAAAGTGTATTAGCCAAGTGCTGAAAACCACAACTGCAGTTAAAATTAAGAATGTGCTGATAGTCTTTTTTTGGGTTATCAAGATAGTCTTTTTTTGGGTTATCAAGAAGTGTTATCAAGATCAAGGCCCTCTAAAAATGCAATAATAAGTACAGCGATAGGATTTTAGTGTCATTCGGCAGCATTTAAATCAGTATTTATTTAACTTGGTACAGTTTTTACAGTAAATGCTCTTTTGCTTGTTTCATCAAAGGTTCGACATCGATGGTGTGAACTTGTTATTAAACACAAATATATATCAGGGTATGGTGATGTTGAGAAATTCCTCAAGGAAGACCAGGTCAGTACTGTTTACTAATGTTTGTCAGAGTCAGAATATCATATAGGTATTGCCATTGCTCATTAACATGGCACCAACATGAATCTCATAAAGTTTGTTTTATTGTGCTGGTACCATGATTTAAATACTTTTAAATTGCTATTAGAGGGCAGGAGCCAAATATTAATTCAAAACAGCCTTTCTTATCTTTGCCATTTTTTGCCATGTGCATTTCTCTACTCTTCCTGTTTCTGCCCCCCCCCGTTTTCCTTCCTCTGTGTTCCTTTTTTGTTGTTTTGTTGTTTTTTGTATTTTTCATGTGGGAATGTGTGTGCACCTGGAAGTCATGGCGACCTCTGATGACTGACCCCTACTGGGGGCCTGGAGGATATTCAGAGAGGTGGCTGAGTAAAGCCTGCCCCCACCGCCTCTGGTATTTCAAGGTCTCCCATCCAAGTACTTGCCAGAGTCAACCCTGTTTAGCTTCTGTGATCTAATAAGATCGGGCTTGCCTGGGCTATCCAGGTCAGGGCCCTTCCTCTCTGTTCTTGTCATCTTCAATTCATTGCCCTGAAGTCTGATTCAATTCCCCACTGCCATTTTTATTCATTTTTTAAAAATTTATACTCCATTTTCCTCACTCAGTGGTGACCCAAAGAAGCTCACAACATAATTCTCACCTCCATTTTATCCTCACAACAGCTACCTGTGAGGTAGTTAGGTTGTCCCAAGGTCACTCAGCAAGCGTCCATCGAAGAGTGAGTATTTGAACCTGTGTTTCCTAAATCATAGTCCAGCACCCTAGGCACTACATTGCACTATACCATACCAGTATGCCATTCTTCCTTTTCTCCTGCTCCTGTTTCATTATTCTCTTTCCTTGCAACTTATGCTTGGTCTTCTCTAAAGTTGGAGCAGCTCACCCATTGATAACTTAGTCGTAAGAACAGAATAGGTCACTCAGTGACATCAGAGGCACTCCCAATTGCCCCACCTCTCGTTTTTAGAAAGGCAATTGAGCCAATTGCACAACAAAAAGATCTCAACATATGGCAAAATTGCCCTTTGTCCATGGCATGAACGTATCAAATACGTTCAAAGGCTGTAAATTTTCAAATGCCTGGATCTGATTGTGAGTTTGGAAAATACTCTCTTAATTGTCTAGCCAGTCAGCAAAACCAGTTGTGCTCCTCTCCATACCTTAATTTTTTTCATGGGAGAAGTCTCATGTAATTGTATAAAACAAACTATCGGCTCATGTATTGAGATATTGTCTACTCTGCTTAGCAGTAATTCTTCGGTATCTCAGGCAGAAAGGTTCTTTCCCACACTTCTGTCTTTTAACTGGAGATGCCAGGGATCGAAATACATGTACCCTGCTATTAAGCCATGCTTGTTTATACATCTGTTCAGCCACCTACTGAAATCTCTAAAGAGAGCCACGACTACCTTTATAGTAAACAAGAAGTTAAACACAGAGCAGAAATATTAGGTAAAGAAAAATATTCTAGGCAAGAGTCTGGTGACAGAGAAATTAGTCATCTACCTATGGAAAGGATACATTGGACAAAGTGACCTTCGATTCTCAAAAGTTCATACTCTCAAAAATCTTCAGGTGGGTAGCCATGTTGGTCTGAAGCAATAGAACAAAGTTTGAATCCAGTGGCACCTTTAAGACCAACAAAGTTTAATTCTCCCTTGTAAGGACTATGAGACCCAGATGAGTGGGGAATTCCCTTTCCTCCACTTTTGGCAGCAGGAAGTCCATCTTTATTGTTCTGGAGGGGAGGAGTTCCCCCATCTTCCCTTCAGTCTTCCTGCCAACAGAGTAGGCAGGCATTGGGGAGATCTGAGTGCTTTTGTTTCCAGAGCTCCCTCTTCGAAGTCCAGCATCTTGATTTACATCATTTGTCCTTATCTTCAGTTATCTCCCCTATCTCACAAAGCCATTACGGCAGTGTGCTTTGGCTCAGCAGAGCCGAGGGATTTAGAGTTTTACAGCCCTGCATGCAAACAGTAGGGGAGCTGGGCAATGGAGCTGACAGTGGGATCTTCTGTTCTCTGGGCTGCAGGAGGTATTATGTGCCCAGCAGAGCTCCAAGGGACATATATTGGGACACTGAACTCTTCCCAAATCATTTATCTCTTCCCTCTTTTCTTCTGCAAGTGAGCGGGTAAGGGACGAGGAGGAGGGGCGCACTTTCTTCCTGCCAGAATGTTACCACGCCTTTCTCCCCTGCACTAGGATTGAGCAAGGTGGCAACAGAACTGGAGAAGGAGAACTCCAACCCACTCCCCTCAGGGATCCCAGGGGCTTCCAACTGTGGTTGGAATCTTTTATAGAAGGGGCTATGGGCAGAAGGGATTACAGCAGCCACAAGTGTCAGTGGTCCCCTCTACAGAAGCAATCCAGTAGAATTAAATGGCACAAGAAGCTGCCCTTTAGAGTTAGAGGGGGAAGGATCCACCCAAGGTCCTCACCTAACCTGCAAGAAAGCAAGTATTGATCATTACATGTTACAAGTAGACCATTCACCAAATTTGGATAATTCCCCTGTTCTCTCCATTAGTGACCCTGACCTGTCTGAATAGGAGGAAGGTCAGATCAGTGATGAAGCTCACTCCTGGCCCTTCCAAGCCCAAGAGGCCTTTCGCCACCAAGGTTTTGCCCCTACTCTAAAATTCCTGAAGCTTTCTACGCTGGTGGTGGATCTTCCACATCAGGAGGAAGGAGATCCTGACTTGGAGAGTGAGTAGGAGATTATGGCCAGCCCTAGTAGCGGACTCTATCTTGCCCTTCCCTAAGATATCTGGGATGCAATGAACATGAAATTAAGCAAACTCTGGAGAATGGCAGAAGACAGGAGGGCCTGGTGTGATGTGGTCCATGGGGTTGTGAAGAGTCGGACTCGACTGTGCAACTGAACAACAACTACAAGAAGATATCTGGCTGGGTACTGAGAAATACATAAAGTTTCAGGTGGCCCAGGCTAAGAAGTGCTGTGCCTTCCCGCTTCAGCAGACTAACTCCTACGTATTCCGGTGGTGGATGCTCCTGTGTCTCAATCTGGCATCTGGATTAGACTGTCCCATGGAGGAGGGAGGAGCACTTAAGTGGGCTGAAGCCTGCAGGAGCAGCACAGCCCTGCACAGAGCCCCTGAGGCCAGTGCTTTCTCTATCTAGGCTTCAGTGGCTTAGTGCCTTTTTAGCCTGTACATCATTCTTTTGGTTGTGCAAGATGCAGAGAAAGTTCTCTGACCTCCTACCTCTGATCTCAGAGAAGATCATGGCTTTTGTAGCTGATGCTATATTGGTCACTGTGCAGTGTTCAGCAAGGGCCATTGGCACTACCGTGGTCACCAGGCAGCACCCTCTGGCTGAGCCAGGTTGATGGATGCTTCAGCAAGGCCATAATGGCATCTTATCCCATCAAGGGTTACATACTCTTTGGGGACAAGCTAGAAGGTATTCTAATTGAGACTAAAGAGAAGTAGAAGGTCCACCCATTCTCAGACTGTAGGATCTCTAGGAGAGGATCCAGACATTTAGAAGGTATTCTAATTGAGACTAAAGAGAAGTAGAAGGTCCACCCATTCTCAGACTGTAGGATCTCTAGGAGAGGATCCAGACATTCGGGCTCTTCCTCTGTGGTCTCTAGGGCATTTGGATCTTCTAGGATCCCACAGGTCTACAGCAGATTTTCCTGGAATTCCTACAGGAATTCCTACAGGTTCCAGCCCTCATTGTCTAGTTCCCATTCAGGCAATACCTAGTCTGGACCCTCGAAGGGCAAGCCAGATACCCCAGTTAGAGCTGATGCCTCTCCTAAAGGGGTGGGAAGCTGACTGCAAGAATTCAACATTCAGTTAGTATAGTCTGTTCAGAATCAGTGGGTCGTCTTGCCTCACCTCCTCCAAGGAAGTTCCTGCAGTTGCCTCTGTCTCCCAATCAGAAAAAGTTTTCAACAAGTTTTTCAAGATCTGACATCTTCCAGAGCTAGGGGGCATAGAATCAATTACCTCGAATCAGTGTCGTTTAGGTCTATAATTTTTGGGGGGTGGTTCCAAAGAGGAACGAGAAATGGCAACCCATTCTGGGCCCCCAGTTTCTAAACCAGTCACTGAAGCTCCTTCAGTTCCAGAAGGGACTCCATCATAGAAACCTGGAATGGGGGCAGTTTTTTGTCTCTGATAGATCTGTCTGAGATGTATTCCAGGTTGACTTCTATATTGGAAGTTTTTCAGATTTGCTGTTTGGGACTGCCACTGGACTTCCAGTTTCAGGCAGTGCTGTTTTGGTCTGGCATTAGATCCCAGATCCTTCACCAATTTGAGCAGCCTCCATCTTTACCTGGATGACTTTCGACTGAGGATGCCCTCCACAGAAAAGGGAGCTGAGGAGCTGCAGAGAATGATAATCCTTCTTTGGTGAAATGGGTTTGTGATCAACTTCGAGAAGAGCCATTTGTCATCCACACTAGTATTAACTCACTTGGGGGTGGTGACAGAAACATCAGAGGGAAAACATTTTATTCCACCAAACTAGGCCAAGCAATATCCACCATGGCTCAGCGAGTTCTGTCTCAGCCTACCTTGAGCATCATGCTCCTTTTGGGTCTCCTTGGGCCACATGATCTCTATGAAAGTGCACTTGAGAGATCTGTAGTGGCTAATTCTTCCCTGGCAGACATCAATATTAGTAAAGCGTCATTGGAAAATTCCAGTTTCAACAAGTGAGATCATCCTTGATTTGATGGACCAACCCCTGCCTTTTGAGAGACAAATCCATTCTTCCCACACCAGAGCTGGTGGTGACAACTGATGTCAACCTGGGGGGATGGGGAGCTCTCATGGAGTCCTCTCATGTGCAAGGGAGTCCAAGCCAAGAAATTGGCCACAGTTGCAAACCTTTTCCTTGGCCATTTTAATTTTTCCTTCAACCATCAGGAACAACACCATGTCAGCCAAGTCCCATGTGTGTACATGGGGGGGCACCAAGTTGAGAAGCCTTCAGTGCGAAC